TAATTTTGATATTTTATTTTTTTAGCTTAAATATCTGTCCCTTATGTTGTTATTAATGTATCATATGTTCAGAATAGTCAACCAAGTTCATTTCTTGATTCTTTGACCGTAGTATTTTCCTTTCCTTTTTACCTTAGCTTTTTATACCTTTCTGAACTTGACAGTTGTTCTTAATAGACAAATATTTAGTGGTTTGAAGAAGATATTGGCCAATGAAGTATACCTTTGTCAGTATGTAAATTACAAGAGAGAAATTTAGAAATTAGAAATGAAGTATGGTATATGTTCCCAGCAAATGTCAATTTTTTTTAAAAGAAAAATTTTCTTCATTGACAACTTTTGACTTATAGGCATAAAGAATATTACTAAAGCATTGTTTTCTTTGTTAGATGATCTGCTTTATGTGATTTTTCTTTTTCAGAGTATTATTAAAACTAATACCTTTTTTATTATAAGGTGTGCCTTCAGGTAAAGTGTCCTCAGTTAGCAGCTCTTTGGGAAACAAACTTCAGACCTTATCTCCCTCTCATAAAGGGATAGCAGCCCCTCAGGCAGGGTAAGTCTACACTGAATTTAATTTATTAGTGATATGTATTTAAATGATATTAAGGTTTTATTTTGGTTAGGTAATTGGGTTTTTCATTGAACTTAATTTTCTAAGTTAGCATATTACTGGTCAGGAGCACACTCACTGCTGTTGAGGATCTAAATTATTATAAACATTTTGGAAAATAATCTGGTGGTATTTATCAAGAGCCTTAAAAATATTTATATTTTTGAATGAATAATTTTACTTCTGGGAATCTAGTCTAAGGAAATAATTTGCAATATGGAAGGGTTTTGTAGTAACTATAATTTGCTAAGCACTATGTATCAGGCACTGCACTAGACATTTTGCATATAATTTTATTAAAACCACCCATGACCACAGAATAATAGGATCAGAGAAGCAAAATAATTTGCTCGAAACCACATAGCTATTAAAAGTTAGAAACAGAATATAAATTGGGGTCTTTTTGGCTCTGAACATTGTACTCTTTTCACATTTTTTTTAATAATGTAAAAAAGAAAAAGTAAAATCACCTAAATGTCTAGCTTTGTTTGAAGAATAAATTATGAAAATCTACACAGGAATATTTTGCAACCATAAAATATATATAAATTTTAATAAGATGATTCTATAACAAGAGAAAGAGATACAAAACTCCATGTATAGGATGATGGAAACTATAAAAATATGTGTAGACAAAAAAGATAAAATATCCTGAAATATGAATAGTGGGGTGATTCTTTTCTCTTCATTTAATACCTTTTTTATACTTTCTATCTTTCTACAGTTTTATACACAAGACTTTTAATGAAGTAGCATAATTAAACTTTTAATAATATATTTTAATATGGGAAAAGTTAGTAACACTAGAGATTTTAATATAAAGCCACCAATTTTTGGAAACTCACTTTCTCTTCCATTTTGACAAATCAGAAAATAAAGGGATTGCCACAGGACTATTAGAATGAAGGATTATGTCTATATCTTTACATATACTGATACAGTTGATGAAGGAAATATAGCTCATGTTATTTTCAAGTATAGGTTTTCTGTGGCTCACATTCACTTTGGTTTTTATGTGGGAAATATATACAAGTGTATCTGTCATTTGAGAGTAACTACCAAAGTTTCTCAATTCAGACTACATAGAAAAAGCAAGACCTAAAAGGAGTTTAAAGTAATTATCATTCAAAGGAAAAAATGAACTAGCAAGATCTGATGAGTTAAATGTTTTTTCTTATTATTTTGCCTCCAGAAAGAAGAGATAGGCTATCTTTAAGAAAGAGACAAGTTATCAATAGATCAAGTAGTTGAAAAGTGAAAGATGCACATATTCCAGTGGTAACAAACTGATTTGATTTTTTTTCTTCTCTAGAGTTGACTCATCGGATAGTTAAGTGAACTATAGATACAGCCATATGTGCTTTAATTTTACAAAGCCTTTTAATCATTTACCAGGAAGAATTGCCTTCCATGCTAGGTTATAGTGTGTGTTTTTAGTGTTGTTTATAGTTTTATTTACAGTTGATTATGAATTAAAAGCTGCTATTTTTCATACCTCTCCTATCATACTGGTGATTTTATCAGTTGGCAATATTAAGTTGTGCTGACA